AAAAAAAAAAAGCAAGAGAAAAAAACAAAAAAAAAAAAAAAAAAAGAGAGAGAGAGAGAGAGAGAGAGAGAGAGAGAGAGAGAGAGAGAGAGAGCGAGAAAGAGAGCGAGAGAGGGCGTGAGGGAGGGGGAGCGAGAGAGAGCGGGAGGAAAAGACACACACATAGAGGGGAGGGAAGAAGGGAGGGAGCCCCGGGGAAGGAGAGAGAGAGAGAGATTCTCTTTCACGTCTTTCTCGCAGGCATGGCCACGCTATAGGCCGTCTACAAATTGCACACAATGGAGGATGGGGACAGCAGATGGGACGTAAAAATCGACGGAACGACGCTATTTCCCTCGACCCCATCCCACCCACACGCTGCCTCTCCCGCTACCACGCTGCGTCCATCACCACCACGCCCCTCTCTTTCCGCCACCAGCACACCCCTTTCCAACTACAGTATATCACACCCATCTTCACGTAGCACCCACGTACGCTTCGAGTTGCGTGCATGTGAGCGCGCTGGCTGTGGGGCGGGGAGGCGGTGACGGGCATGCGGAAGGCTGCGACAACAATCGCGCAATCCTGTAGTAGAGCTACTATAGATAGGCGCGCACGACCGCACCCCGCCTCCCCGTGTGCACACCTGCGCTCCGCCCGCGTGCTGATGAATCAATATAGTAATCACCGCAGGTAAGGCTATATCGCGGATTACGGCCGAATAATATGATTAGCCCGTGTGCTAAAAGCCTGGATTAAGAGCCGTAATCATATATCAGTGCCTAAGAGGGCAATTCAATGCGAAGAGCGCAGGCAGGCAGGCAGGCTACAAAAGCCTGGCTCGGGAACGACACGACGATAATATAACCTAACACGAGATCTAGAGGCACCCGCGGCGACGATAGCGCCGAAAAAAATCACACCCACGACATCGTACGGCATAGTTACATCTGCTTACAGTCAGTTTCCTACATTAACCCCTTGTCTATGAGCACCGAAAATTGTATCGTAGATCATCCAATGCGTTATTCAAGAATTAACAACATGCCGATGTCAATCCGAATGCAGTAGTCAGTATTACCTTTCCTACATATTACATATATATATATATATATCTATTATACATACATATATTATGTGTGCGCGCGCGTGCGTGCGTGCGTGCGTGCGTGTGTGTGTGTGTGTGTGTGTGTGTGTGTAATACTCGCTACAGCCTACATATATGCAGTGCACAGAACATGGAAATCTGCATCAATAGAAGCAAAATTGTGCAACCGGAACTCAATATATGCTGAGCAATATTAAAACTGCAAGCACGCGCGCGTGTGCGCACACACACATACGGTTACACTACTGCGGTAAACTATCAAGAGCTGCCAAGTGACGGTGACGCGACACGTCAATTAGTATACGAACAACATATAATCAAGATAATACATAACCAACAGACTAGGCCATCATGATAATTAGAAACATTTTCATAATGGTATAGCATATGTTTTACAGATGCAGTTTCTGAATTTTCTACTCTAAAGAGTAAACTATATTATATACACTATGGTGAAACAAGCCAGTTCCAGTGGGTGGCATTCTTTCGTTCTGACCGTAAAAAGCCACCAATCAAACAAACAAATAGCAGCAGCAGGAGCAATAGCAGCAGCAGGAGCAATAGCAGCAGCAGCAGCAGCAGGAGCAATGGCAGCAGCAGCAGCAGCAGCAGCAGCAGGAGCAATGGCAGCAGCAGCAGCAGCAGCAGCAGCAGCAGGAGCAATGGCAGCAGCAGCAGCAGCAGCAGCAGCACCGCCACCGCGTATGAAATGAACGTCCGACCAGGTATGTACGCGCCGACGTCAGCGAGCGAGCGAGCGAGCGAGCTGTCGCGATATTCAGCTCACCCCATCACATCATCATCATCATCATCATCATCATCATCATCATCATCATCATCATCATCATCTCCTTCAGCAGGCCAGGTGCGCGCACCTCATCAAAAGAACATCGCCCCCCCCCCTGCCGCCGCCGCCGCCGCCGCCGAGTCTGCTCTGCTGCCACTATTACTGTAGAAAGTGATTGAATAAATTGCTGCCGTTATGACAGCGCGATGGTACATCACGATCAGAACGGCAGCAGAACGAGAGAGGAGAAAAGCATCGAGATGTCCATATTAGATACTCAATAGCGCGACAATTGCCTTTGGTCTCGAGTAATCGCGATCGCAGACGAAATACACACAAACTTTTCGCAAAGCGACAATGACAATTTGCGCGACAAGAACGCGAGGACGTTGGAAAAATTGGCTAAGACGGCTCATCCGTGTTATAAGGTCGTTCGAACACGCGCTCTCGCGCTCGCGACTGCAGAGGCAAATCCGAGACGCGGCGAATTACAAAACGAGTATCATTCGACGATCGCACAAATTCGGAAAAGTGGCCCGCAAACACGAATGCCGCGACAAAAGCTACGCTAAACGCGTGTGCGCGCAACTGTCGACATATCAAATTCTCGACACTTAGCAACACTCGACTCCCCGAAGGCTCGCGTAGAAAAGGCAAAATAATCTCAACTGGG